ATTCAAGAAACAGTTGTTTTTGAAATGATAACCATCTTTAACAGACCTGTACTCATAAGATGGCTCAACTTCAGTTTCGTCCTTTCCTCTATGACTTTCAAGTACCTTATCAAGAATTGCTTTTCTATTTAAAAGTTGCTGTAATGATTGTAACAGTTGGACATACTGAAAGGTGCGCTTCTTTTTTTGATCAAGTATGTAGGTAACTGGTTCCACAACACCAAACGTTTCCCTGTAAAATTGTTTACGTTGATATGTGGTGCTAAGAGGGCCTCCTTTTCCTACTGCTTTTTGAAGAGGGTCAGATATACAAACTGTTGCAAGGATTTCTTCAACTACAGAGTCTTCAACTTGAAGATGGTGACGGCTAAAGATGTCAGTTATGAAGCCTCTAGATACTGGGACTGATGCAGCACTTTTTAAATGATAAAGTTCTTGTAAAAATTCATCAATAGCTGTACCTGGCACATGTACTAAACACTCCAACTTCAGTAAGGCCGCTGCAAGCTGCTGCTCTATTGCATTTGGGAGGGCTTTATCTTGATTGCTGCAATCTACCGATATACAATTTGAATCCTCCTTGACAAATTCCTCACACTTTTCATCAGGAAATGATGACAGAGATGCTACTGTAGATTTCTTCACAGTACCTGGTTTAAAATCTGCAAGGTTATGGGGTGTATGTCTGCGACTCTTGTGAGATTTAAAAGTTCCATAAATACAAGTCTGAAAACTGCAACCAACAAACATGCAAGAAACATTTTCATTTTTCTTTAGATGTGAGTTGATATGAATAAAGTACTCCCTTTCATTTGCCAAGTTCTTGCAGGAACATAAGTGACAACTAAATATAGATAACTCTTTCAATGTCTGACTGTCTTGTGAAGAATGCACTCTACTTTGATGTACATTTAAGGCGTTCCATGTCTTAAATGTGCATGGGCATTTTGAATACGTACATGGATAACGGGAAGTACGTCCAAAGTGTGGATGTTTGAGTTTGTAATGATTACGTAGCTCCAATCTACCTTTAACTGATACTGAGCACCCTTTACACTGCCACATTCACTGGAGAAGGAGGAGAGGGAGAGAGACAGATTCATTAACATTTGCAATACAATTTAGTAGAGCTTAAATGTACTTAAACCCCTTAAGTACTGCCCTATGTATAGTTCAAACACTCACCACTCCTACAGAGCCTTTAGGGACACTCAGGATGGAGGTAAATTTTGTTTCACAGGCGGAATACGATATTTAGAAAATATCAAATTTTGCATCAATTATAAAAACATTTAGCATCTATTAAAGATGTAGACAAACTGTTCAACATAGTTCTATGTGTGTTTTAAAAATAAACTAATCATGGTTATTAATTATACATTAAAATAATTTTCCATCTGATTAAAGCATTACAGATATATGGTAAATTACTACGCACCTTTATCTGAAAAAAAAAATTCCATGTGGCAACCCAAACGTAATCCAAAAACTTACACAATACACGTACAATGTTGATAACTGGAATATTACACATCTGTATCCTACCACCAAAATTCTCTTTCAGTAATACTTAGTTACATAATTTAATTTGATCTTTCTGCAAAATTAAATTTACAGAAAGTAAGATAACATATGCAAATCTTCACTAACAAACGAAATAATATTATTACAACATTAACTTTAATACCACTACAGAACAGCACTAGAGAATTGCTCTGAAGTGACAACAATCTGCCTCTCAGCAGGGATAAGCACCAAATATCTGTAAAGAAAAAGTCAATACATTTCAAATAATTA